GTCCGCGGTTCATTGGGCCTTTTAAGGTGCTTCGGAGGATTGGGGAGGTGGCTTATGAGCTTGATTTGCCACCAATCTTGTCGAGTGTGCATCCGATATTTCATGTTTCTATGCTTCGGAAGTATATTGGGGACCCGTCTCATGTTTTTGACTTCAGCACGGTTCAGTTGGATGATGATTTGACCTATGATGTGGAGCCAATAACTATTTTGGGTCGTCAGGTTTGGAAGTTGAGGTCAAAGAATATAGCTTCAGTGAAAGTGCAGTGGAGAGGTCGGCCCGTGGAGAAGGCTACCTGTGATCGGGTTTTATCCATGTTTTATATGATCGGGTTGATTAGTTCGAGTTCGGAGAGGATTTGGTAAGAAATGAGACACTTAGTCTCTTTTAAGAAGGCTTAAGTTGGAAAAGTTAACCGGATGTTGACTTATGTGTTAGAAGGCTCGGAAGTAAGTTCCAATAGTTCGGTTAGCTTCGGGAGGTGATTTGTGACTTAGGAGCGCGATCGGAATGGATTTTGGAGTTGTAGAGAAGATTTAGGCTTAAATTGGCGAAGTTAATATTTTGGTTGTTCCGGTTGATAGGCGAGATTTTGATATAGGGGTCGGAATGGAATTCCGAGAGTGACAGTAGCTTTGTTGTATCATTTGGGATGTGTGTACAAAATTTTAGGTCATTCGAACGAGATTTGATAGACTTTTTGATCGAAAGCATAATTTAAGAGTTCTTGGAGTTCTTAGGCTTGAATCCCCTGTTAAATTAGTGATTTGATGTTGTTGTGAGCATCCCAAGGTTTTGAACAAGATTGAACGATGTCATGGGATGTGTTGGTGCAATTGGGTTGGAATTCCAGGAGTTCCGGGTAGGTTCCAGGATGTTTTAGGCCAAAATCATAGCTGTAGCAGGTCCAGAAGGGTTGCAGGCCTCGGAAACCATCCGCGCGGACCGCACAAAAGGAAGTGCGCCCGCGGTATGTGCTGTGCGGACCACACAAAATGAAGTGCAGCCGCGGTGGTTTTGTGCGGGCCGCAGTGGTTTTATGCGGACAACGGTGCTTTTGCGCGGACCGCGGTGGTTCTGTGCGGACCGCGGAGGTTGAGATCTGAGGGGTACTCTATAAATACGAGGTTTTGGGTTTTATTTAATATTTTGACCTAGAGAGCTCGGATTTTGGCGATTTTTCGAAGGTTTTTCAAGAAATTCATCGGGGTAAGTGATTCTAACTCAGATTTGGCTAGAGTACATGAATCTATCATTGAATTCATCATTTAATTCATGATTTGGGATGGAATTTGGGAAGAAAATTGTGAAACCTTTCAAAAATATAAAATGATGATTTGAAGGACCAAATGGTATCAGAATTGGATAATTTTGGTATGGTTAGACTCGTGAGGGTATGAGGATTCTGAAAATGTAAATCTTACCATATTTTGAGATGTGGGACCGGGGCTCGGGTTTTGCTAATTTCGGGATTTTTAATATTTTTCGAATGTTTTCGCTCGGGCTTTGTTCCCTTAGCATATTGTGACGTATTTGTTCTCATTTTGGATAGATTCGACGCGCGTGGAGGCCAATTCGAGGGGTAAAGGCGTCGCGAGCTAGAGAATTAGCCGGTTCGAGGTGAGTAATGGTTGTAAATGATGTCTTGAGGGTTTGAAACCCCGGATTGCACATCGTAGTGCTATATTGAGGTGAGACAAACGCTGGATGATGAGCGTGTGGCCTTTTACTACTGGGGATTGTGACTTGGTCCGTCCCGATTGATGATTTTACCGCATATTTGACTGAAATTTATTTGTTATCATTACGATTTGGGTTGATTGCCATATTTGGGCTTCGTGTCAACTATTTGAACCTTTCGGGGATTTTTTTCATTATTTCCTCATTGCTTTGACTTATTATTTGAACTCAGTCCTGTTGATGTCTACTGTTTTACAAACTCAACCACTTTTACTCAGATTTGAAAACTTATATGATATTTCTAAATGATGCTTTGGGCTGAGAACTACTGTTTTACTAATGCCCAAGGGGCTTATGATGATTTCCGGACTGAGTGAGGCCGAGGGCCATATATGAGGATATGTTGAGTGATGTGAGGCCGAGTGCCGAGTGATGATGCCACGAGGTTGCTTGATATAGCGCTTGGGCCGTATGGGGACCCTCCGGAGTCTGCACACCCACAGTGAGCGCGGGTACCCATTATGATCTAAGAGTGAGCCCGAGGGGCTGATACTATTCTGAGTGATTGATACTGAGCCCGAGGGGCTGATACTGTACTGAGAGTAAGCCTGAGGGGCTGATACTGTTCTGAGTGATTGATACTGAGCCCGAGGGGCTGATACCGTACTGAGAGTGAGACCGAGGGGTGGATTTTTACTTGTTATTTACCTGTTAAATTACCTGTTTTACTTGTTTTAAAAAGGGATATCATTTGATTTCTTCACTGATTTACTGCTTTAAGTGATTTTACTGCTTGATATGGAATTGCTTTGTGCCTTTACGTGTTTTCATACTTTCAGCCATTATTTATAATTATTACTCACTGAGTCGGAGTACTCACATTACTCCCTGCACCATGTGTGCAGATTCAGGCATCGCAGAGTCCGCTCTTGAGTGCTGATTCTCCCAGTCCAGGTAGTGATTCGGAGACTACGAGGTAGTTGTTGGCGTTCGCAGCCCCGTGCCTCCCTTATCTTATCATTTTCATGTTTTTACAACTATTGTACCAGATTTAGTATTCAGTAGACTTGTATCCAGATTTCTTAGTTGCTCATGACTTGTGACACCTCGGTTTGGGCTGTATCGGGATGGTTTCTGTAGTTAGTATCGTTAAATTCCGCAATTTATGGATATTATAGTATGTTTTATTGTCGTTTATGATATCTAATCGATTTAAAAGAGGTGTTCCGTTTTGGTCTGGCTGGCCTTGTCTTCACGAGAAGCGCCATCACGACCAGGTTCGGGAATTGGGTCGTGACATTAGTGAAGGAAACAATCTTTTTGGTGCGAGCATAATAAACTTAGTATAGACTGTTAAAATTCCAATACAAACACAAAGCTAACGCAGCAGAAATTATACAAGGAACGTACCTTTAGTCATAGTTGTTCAAGTGATGTAGAATCGCCTTGTCAAACTTTGACAGAAAATCTAGAGCCTTCTAGCCTAAGCCTATTGTAGGATGCCAGACTGATGGAGTCACAGGCGTATTTATAGGTAGGCTAGGGACTCTTAGGCAAATACTTTAGCCACGGGGACTTCTCCATAAATTATAATTACCCTAGGGACTCCTAATATATGGTAATTTCTTTCCATCAAAGAAACTACCATATATGCATAACTACAGAATATTATCTCATATATTATTTCCTTTGGGAGACAAGGTAAATAATTTATTACCTTATATGTGGGCCACACTAGAAGTCTCTAGAAGAGACGGTGAATTTCTTACATAGACGACACATAATATACATACATACACACACTATATTAAAAGCACGAAGCCCCTTAGCGAAATGCCGTTCGTTTTTTTTACCCTTTAAAAATAGATTTTACATTAGACAAAATAGTAATTTAGTTATTTTCCTAATAGTTAGGACTTTTCATTTTCCTAATATTTTGGACGTTAAACTCAACTAAAATTATGGTTATTAATTAAATATTTTCTTATTTATACTATTTAATAAGTCCTAATTTTTAAGAATTTCAAATTCAAGTAAGATTTTATTTATATAAAACCTCTCCTTATTTGAATTGAATAAAAAATAATTATTAGCGTGTAATTATAAGTATGTTTCTTCCATACAGAATAAATAATCCTAAATTCCAAAAAAAAAAAAAAAACGTTTGATAGTGATAATTAATTTTGCAACTATGAGTACTTTTCTTCTTCTAGATACCAACAAACCAAAATATCCTTAATATATGAAGCTTAAAAGTATAAAAGAACAAAGCCAAATCTTCTATTTATCGAAAAATAACGAAGATTTAGGCTTTGACAGAAAATAGTTAGTGTTAGTTGGAAAAATTATTTTGAAAATAACAATTTGGTTATTGGTCATGTGTTGAATTTGAAAAATAATATTTTCAATGAACAAATATAATTGTTGATGTTCAAGAAAATAAGCATAACAAAAATATAAGTATTTAAGATACCTAACAACCTAAAATTTTGTAGAGTGAGTTATATAGAGTTAATTACAACATAGTCAAAATTGATCTACACATCCAACATTTATACCTTTTGAAAAACTAATTTTTCTCTTCAAAAAACGAATCTACGTTTAAAATATTACATTATGATTTTGTCCAACATATAGACCTAATTTTGATTTTAACATGAATTATATACTTTTACTATTTTTAGGATAGTATTAACATAGTCTTTATAGAACCCGTGATCAATTGTATTGTATGTAATTCTAGACGATTAGTTCCTTGTGAATTTGTTGAAAACAACTACTATATTTTTTCTTATTAACTAAAGTAATAGCACAATTTGTATTTTCTCAACGAGGAAAAAAAGGCATACATTACAGGAAAAGAGGGCTACGACGACATTTAATCAATGATATGTGAAATAAATGTCGGAAAATGACTAATTTTATGACACTTATTTACAAATGTCGTAAAATCAATGACATTTGGTAAGAAATGGCACAATTATTGTGACTTTTAATTGAAATGTAGCTATATTAGTCGGTATTTACTGACATTTATAACTAATGAAGGAAATTTGCTTACATTTATAATTATTAAACTTAAAATATATTAAGTATAGGGGCGTCTACTATTTTATCTCAAAAACGCTACAAAACTCCCCCTTTTCTCATACCCAAATAACTGATGCCGTCGTCTCGCATTCATAAAATTGGTAAGGTTCTCATGAAATTGCATCAATCTTCTAGGAATTTTTGCCATCTTCTTTTGGACTCTTTTCATATACCTTTCTAGCATTAGGATCAATTTATCAAATTCAGAGTCGGTGCTTAATTAGCAGATACTACTGATTATTCCTAGATTGTTCTTAGATTGATTTAGAACTCTAAACATGACAGATACTGCTGATAATTCTCAAACTTCTAATCAAGATTATTAAGGCGCGAGTACGTATTTTTTTCTCTCCTGTGATTTCCGTTCTATTATGTTAACTGGATTAAATTTCTCGCCTTTAAAATGGTTGTAACCTTTTCTTTTATTATTATGTATTGAAGTTTGTTGTGGTTGTTGATGATTGGTTTGTGAAGTGGTAGGTAGGATTTATTTATGAATTTAATATTTCTCTGCTTATGTTAGTGGTAGTGGAGTGTTGAAATTGATCGATTTGGGGATAAAATATTAGTATCTGCTTTGTTTTTTATTTTTATGTCACTTTGTGTTTGCAGTTTCTATTAAATTTCAGTTGTTGGTTATTCTGGTAGTGAATTTTGTCTTTTACTTATTTCTAATATGATTCTTTTACTGTTCTGTTCTGTCCACTAGAGAGGACAAAGCCTTGGAACTGTGGCACTAGATAACCATAAGCTCATTATTCATGAAGGACTTGCAATGTTGGATCCCTCAAGGAGATGACATTCTGCTTTTCAGTAAGAATATGGATATTAGTACTATTTATAATTCCATGAGAAATATGACTTTTGTAGCATGATCATTATCCAAATATGGTTTGTGAATTCGAGTTGATTGTGGTTCTAAACTTTGCAGGCCGGTCAATAGGATCATCTCCTTCAATTGGGATAAATAAATATGTAGTTTGTATTACTTATCACTAAATCAACATACTAGCATGACTATTAGCACTGAAATACACTACTAACAAGATTACCGTGCAGGTGCTCAAAATGACTTGCACTAGGAGCATACTCAAGGGTCGTCATCCTTGTCAAAGGTTATCTCTTCACAATATCAATGAGATCAAGAAAATTCTTGTGTTTCACTTGTGAAATATATCAATCTACGCAAATAATTTTAACAGAATATCATATAAACTCTACAACTAAAATGTAATGCTTATAGTTAAAGGGAGTAGGAAGAGGAAAACGACAAAGAGAACTTTTTCTTTTGTGTTGAATTTATTTTAACTGAACAGACGCATGTGGGTTCAAACACCCTTTGCATTTTCTTACTTTATGGATCACTTGTTTACATTTGTGGCTTATGTTTCTGGAAGACTCGAAGTTTCTTATTGTTTTTTTATTTTTGATAAGTAAGTTCATTGTTCTTCTTTGTTTGTATGATGGAAGTTCTTAAGCTGCACAGGTTCTAATGTTCCATGTGATATCATTTTCCATATAATTTCTATAGAAGTTGCCTGCTAACTATTTTTGTTACTTAATCTTTTTTAACTTCTAATTTATGCCTTTATTGGATTTATGTTTAGGTTGATATGCAAAAATTAGAGTCAAGAAGAGGACAGTCTTATGTAAAGGGTGTTGCCATAAAGATTCCAGTTGCCTCGCTCTTTGTACGGAGGCTCACTAAGTGAACTGTTGTGAATCAGTGTTCTTGTAGTCGGCATTGGTCTTTATTTATAGTTAGCATTCAGCTTGTTCTGAAGATGAACAAGGATAAAAATTTATATTCTATGAGAACCATTATCGAATGATGGTGTAAGATTTATAAAAATAATATATAAGTGACTCTTTTGTTTTAATTCAAATTTCCTTTGTAGGGTATGATATTGTATTATCAAAATTATATGAATTACGAAATGTATGAAAAGCTAATGTTCTCTATGTATATAAAGAAAAAAAGTTGTTGACCAAAGATAATTTACCGACATTTCTATATATGAAGAAATGACGAATAATATTTGGTGACATTTCTTTATATGTCACAACTTTATTGAGCTTATATTCAAATAGGTGACATTTTGATAAAAGTCGTTGATAAGTGTCACTATTTATTTGCCAACATTAATTTAAATGTCGGAAAATTTCCGACATCAAAATTTCCGACATTTGATATAAATGTCAAATAAATGTCGATAAATGATTTTGTGACATTTATGTGACTTATGACGACATTTAAAAAATATCGTCATAGTCTTATTTTCTTGTAGTGATATTCTGTCAGTTTACTTTGTTTGTATCTTATATGATAGAACTTAAGAATATATTGCTTTTTCCAATAAAATTTAATGGAATAACTCTTAAATTTTAAAAGATTAATGTGTTCTTGCTAAAATTAAAAATGGAGAATGATAACTTGTGAAATTGTAGTGATATTATAAAATTTGCAATAATTTTAAGTTGAATATATGGACTTATATGATTTAGGGCTTATATGGGGTATAGTTTCTATGTTTATTGTGTTAGCTATAGGGGTGTACATAGGTCAGGTTGGTTCGGGTTTTATAATTACCAAACCAAACCAATTGTGTCGGGTTATTAAATCTAAAGACCAAACCAAACCAATAAAACTCGGGTTTTTCAATCTCGGTTTTTCTCGGATTTTCGGGTTTTTCGGATTTTCTCGAGTTTTTTCCCGGTAAAATCTTCGTAGAACAAAACATATAACTTGTGCTCAAAATATTTCTTTAATCCTAGTAAGATACAACTTTATAAAGTATTTTTCCAGAAAATAATACAAAATATGAGATGTGTCCATGACATTATCCTAAAATATTCAACAATAAAGACAATAAATTATGTAATATAAATATTAATAATTAAAAAGCCACAATAAAAATAAACATAAACTAAAGTACTAAGTCATGCTAAATAAGTAGACTAATAAGGGAGTATTAATTACATGACTAAACACAAAAAAATAAAATAAAAATAGGTTATGCATTTTTATCTAAATTATTGCAAAACAAAAAATAGATATTCAATACATTCCTTTTCATAATATTGAATTGAATGTCTTTTGTCAGCATTAGTGTTGATTTGATTTTGGTTTGGACTTTTGTTAGCATTATTTAATTTACTAATATTAATGGCTATAAAACTTATTGGAACATTCAAAAGTTCTAAGTCCAACCTTGAAATAATACCTTAAAAGATAAAATTATGGAAATTTTTAAGAAATATTTATAAATTACATTACAATAAGTATATTTATATATTAAATATATATAAAATTTCTATATATGTAATGCCGGGTTAGTTTGGTTTCGGTTTGACTTTCTTTAGTTAAAACCAAACCAAACCAATTATGGTCGGGTTTTTTTTCTCAACACCAAACCAAATCAAACAATAACTCATATTTTTAATAACTTTTATTTTGTTACTCAAACATAATTTTTATAATTTTTTAATAGTTCATACTTCGCGCGTTCCTGATACTAGTATATATACAATTTACTAAAACTTCAATAAAGACTAAACCTAAATCCACAATTTGGAATAAACATGTTTGCTTATTTTCTTCCAAGCAAAAATAAAAAATAAAGAATCCATATTAATAGCAAATAACCATTTTTATTTTATCATGTCATGTTGGTTCGTCTTCTTTTCCCCCCTTTTTATTTTATCCATTTCCTCACCACTAAACTCTTCTAAAATAGGAAGAAAAAAAAAGTACTGTTGACTACGTGGGTAGAATTTTAGTTAGAGCCTAGATGTGTGTTGACATGTACTCACTTGGTTTGTCATACTAAAAGGAACTTTTCACCTGGCCTTTTACTAGGAGTAATAGATTTGTTCCACTCATTGGTTTTCTTTAACTCGTTCAAACTTCAATGATGACCTGTGTTCTATGACATTCCATTTATTTGACCGAATTACCCAATAGTTTTCATGCATCCAGGTCAGCTGATAGCTCATTCGGCAAAGGCTAATATGGTCCTTTCTCTATGGTAAGACTTTAGTGTGGAACAACCGAACTACATATGAGAGAGCTGTTAAGGCAGTAGGCCAGCATATGTAGCCGTTACACCTCTCAAACCATTTGAAAAAGGAAAAAAAAAAACACAATTGTTCTACTTTTTAAAAATGACATGACCGTTGGTTCTCTTCATCTCTTCATCAAAATCACCGAATCTCTAACACTTATCTTGTTCAGCTCTGGTTTTTCGTCCTTCTTTTCTCTTCAAGAAAAAAACAGAGGCATCAATGGCTGGAGATCTTGTTTTTACCTCTGAAGAAATGGTGATCGACAAGGGACTAGGGTACCCAAAGGCCTATGCCAAGATCTGTAAAGATCGAAGCTTTGGCCCCTTCAGCCGCGGCCCTCCTTTCGCTTTCACTCCCTATTCTCTACCACAGCATGAGGTAACATAAAGAATCAATTCAATTCTCTTTATTTCAAGTTTAATCAGTCAATTTTCAGAACGAGAAACTTGGTGTTCCGAATTATATCTACTTCACCAAATCTGATTAAATTACTATATGGAGTACTTAATCTGGCTTGTTCTGTTTCACTATAAAGGGTGGATTAATCTGTTCCCTTGGAATCTCTTTTCCCCCCCAATTTTTGTGTTGAATTTTCGTTTTATATATGGTTTCTAGCTTCTAAGTGCAAGTTAAATTCGCCTTCTTCATCCACTATAAAGCTAAAGGGACCTTAATTGGTAGTATCGTTATTTCCCTAAGTGGATATCACGGATTGATTTAGGATTTCAATTTGATGGTTTTAACCTTTATGTTCTCAAATTAAACTCAATGAACATTTACAATTACGGCTCGAATTTTAATATTTGGTGATATTTTAGTGATTTTTGTACATAGATATCTATGTTTTGTGCAAATATTTTTCAGTTGAACTCGGTGGATTATACATTGCATCCGCCTCGTAATTGAGTTAAACCTTGTGAATGTTATTCAATTTCTTACTCCAATTTTAATCAGTGATTTTCAAGTAGAAGCAGCTAGTGTTCTAAAAATAGCTTACCTGATCTTGGAAAACAAGTGTCCCAAATTATAGTGCTGAATAAGGTGTATTAGTAATGCCGACATTAGTAATGTATGGGTTAGTAATGCAAGTATTAATTATGCAGAGATTATTTTTTATCCACTGTTTGGTGTGATGTATTAAAAATTAAAATGCATTGCATAGTTTTTAAGAAAATTAGTTGTTTATAAAAATGTCCTTCATATTTTTTAGCTTTAAAGGGGACTTTATGGACAATTTTGTCTTGAACCGTGCTAATGCATGCATTAATAGTCTTGGTATTGCTAATACCACGGTTTGCTATGTATTAGTTATACATAGGATAATACCAAATAGGTTGTATAATTAATACTTGCATTAGTAATACGTAGTTTGAAAAAGTGTACCAAACAAGGGATTGGTAATACCAAAAGCTAATGCATGCATTATTTTCTCTAATGCATCCTACCAAACGACCCCTGAATCTTAGAAAAGATAATATTTGTATTTAATTTTCTGGAGGAATTATGTGCTGCCTCAAATTTTGATCATTGTTATATTGATTGGTAATAGGTTTTGAGAGCCAAGGAATTGGATGACATGTTCCCGATCATTGATCCGAATGCACAACCCAGTACAAAGCCGAAGATTTTCCTGTCTCTTTTGTGGAAGCAACTCAACCACCTCGGGTAAAAATGGATTGTTGATGCAGTTCAACAATCCAATATGAATAATTAGGAAATGCTTAGTAAGAGGTTTCTCATTCTTGATTATAATTTTTGAACTCCAGGAATGCAGGGTTTGATCCGGAAGTATTTCGAGTAGACTCATATGGCAATGTTCTGTATTATCATGCTGATTCAGCTTCACCTCTAGCATGGGAAATTGATCACTGGTTTCCTTGCTCCAGTAATTACTCATCATCTTTCTGCATCCTTCTGCTTTTCTGCGCAAAGTTTAACTTGTGTACCTGGACAGTGTATATAAACTTTTACACTATCAGGTCACCTTAACTTATTGTAAAAGCTTACACCATCTGTGTATATAAGTTAAACTCTTCTGCATTAGTAATTGTTTTCTGCATTTTATGATTATTGAATTTTGTGACATTCGGTGAAATTGCAGGAGGAGGACTAACTGTTCCAAGCAATCTGAGGATAATGCAGTGGCAAGCATGTGAGAAAAAGAATCATAAGCTGGAATTTCTTATACCCTGGTGGGATCTGCAAGTTGGTATATCCATAAACCAGTTCCTGTCCATCTTTGCTATATCAAATTCAGATTTCAGGTTGGTTGCTGTATGTTTGTTGAATGCTTTTCCAGTTTCAAAGTGATATTTTGCAACTGCTAGATGCTGACTATCATTGTTTTCAGGCGTAGAGCATTTTCATGGTTGTTTTCTGAAGGCGAAAATGAAGAATTGAATGCCTCACAAACTGTTGATTCACATGTTTTTCCTCATCATTTTGTTGAATCGCAAGAAAAGATTGGCCTGGCTCCAGCTGCTGTTGNATCGTGTGATGTGCTCTTGCTGCTAGACCAAAGCCTTGGGGGCACTACTCTCTGTTTCTTCGGTTTTGCTTTTTAAAAATTTTCTTTTGTGATAGCTTACAAAAGATCAAAGGCGGATTTGAAAGAAAATGAAGATCCAGGCATGGTGACCAATCCATACCAAGCTATTGTGATGGCTAGAGATTCTTTGAGACACAGAGAAGAGACTTCAAAGATACAGGCAGAAATACAGAAATTAGACGATGAAGTGGGTGAATTAAAGCAAAAGACTGAGGAGGAGAAAGCAGCCGTTGAAGAATTGGAACTAGTCCTAATAAAGAAAAGGAGGAGAGCAGAGAAATGTCGACGACTAGCTGAGGCACAATCTTCTTATAGAGCTATGCTAGAGAAGATGATTCGAGATGCCATGCACCAGTAAGATCACTGAAGAACATGTCCGCTAGAAAAATAAAAATTCACAAGTATTTGATTATAGGGATATTACATTCTTGGGCCGCCCAAAAAATAATAGCCGGAAAATGTATATGTTTTATATATTAAGTTTAAATATACATATAATTTTTGACTATATGCTCTTACTCTATTCGTTTATGTTACTTGTAGGAGCGTTGTCTATAAAGAACAAGTGAGGTTGAATCAGGCAGCAGCTAATGCTCTTATGGCAAGACTTGAAGCTCAAAGAGCAATTTGTGATTCTGCAGAGAGAGAGCTACACAATAGATTCAAATATAGAGATGAACTCGAGCAACAGATAAGACCTGAGTGGGACCAAACAAGAAAAAGATCAAGAATGGATGAATTTCCAGATGAAGAGGGAGATGAGAAGACTCTTCTCTGCCTTCCTGGCAGCAGCTCAAGGGCAGAATTAGAGAAAGATGATCAAAGAGTTCTATGCTTGCCAGGGATGAAGTCCAATGACAGTATGCATAAGGAACTAAGAGTATTTCTGGACGAGGAGCAGAAAGCATACGAGGGAAGACTCTCTCTAAATGGAGGACAAGAGAAAGAAAGACAAAGCGACAAGGCTATTGTGCAGGCAAAGGACGAGGATCCTACAGAGGAGAAGATTCAAAATATAGAAATACAAGAAGAAGGGATAACATACAATGCCGGGTTTCCCACTTTTCATGAAGCTGAAAGAGAGGAGGAGGACGACGAGAGCAGAAAGCAACGTGGGAAAGGAAATGTTGAAAAATGGCTTCAGTTGCTTTTGGATAACTCACAAGAACCTACCAACTTTGGAACTCAGACTGCTGAGGAGAACAATAATGGTAACAGAACTCTTAATGCAGGAGAAGATGAAACTAATGAGATTGATGGCACGATTAGAAAGGAGAATATCAAATATCCACAGAACGAGATAAAGAAATCAAGATCAGAGGAGTTAGAAATAGCTGAAGATGTGAAACAGACGCAGAAAGCTGCCAAACAGCAAGAAGAAGCAAAAAGAGAGGAAGTTGTTCATATGGCAGCCAGGAAATCATCATTTTCAAAAAGAGAAATTGGAAAAAAAGAAGAAAGAACTGAGCTTAAGGGTCAAAAAACACCATCTAGGAATCCTCCACCCTACAGATTAATTCTAGAAAGGAGAGCCAGTGATGTAGGTTCTGCTTCTAAGGGAGTAGTAGGGAGATCTAGCAGCTGTGAAAGAACTGAAAGGAAGAGTGAGAAGGAAAAGGAAAGGGAATTCTTGAGGTCTGACAGTGCCAGGTTGTTTAGGCGTATCCCGTCTTCCCCATCTCTCCTCTTGAGTGGCATGAAAAAGAGAGTGGATTGCATAAGGAAGAAGCCCTCAGTTGTTGGCGATGATAGCGATGAAGGTCGGGGAGGTAATGGCTTCATAAGATCATCCATCAAAACAATCAAGAAAGCAGTGAAGATGTAGGCCCTGATACATATAACTAAGTTCATATAGTTTGAAAGTTGTTATTGCTACTGAGTGTTGGCTACCAAAATGAGTGTATGAATGGTGCGCGCTTTATTTCTTTGTATAATAGTACACTATTATTCTTTTTGAAGGATTTGTAATAACAGCTTGTTGTTTGACGTAAAGATATCTATAAAATGGCTATATGAACATCCGTTGGAGTTTGAAAAGGATAACATGTCCGGTTATGTTTTACTAAGACAAAATTTGATCATGCAGAAAAATAAGAGGAAAGGTTTCTGGCACCATTCTTTCCGTCAACAATTTTGAAAAGACAAGTAGTTTTGTTTGTTTTCATGACCCTCCATGTTCATGCAGTTCTACAAGCAACAACATGTACTATAATCAAGACAAGCTTCCCCGCTCTTTGAGCACACAGTCATACCACCACCAAGATATACAAGTTTCTATATCCACTTTGCTAAAGTAACAAAGGACTAGCGTCTATCTTCAAGTATGATAGAAAGGTATGTGCTATATACAGTGCATCGGGCATCTCTATGTTGAGTATCACCAAATTGTCTTTTGAGATTGCAAACATTTCACAATGTTCTAGCTTTCAAGATCATTACCACGGGGGAAATAAACATTCCTGCAGAAGGGCAGTTGATGTTATCTGCGGAAGCAACAGACTTGCAGTGCCAGACTGTGGATGGGATTTTGCAGTCTCTAGCCAGGAGCTAATTCAGCTTCCATTCTATGTAACCTGGCGCTGCCCGTTCACAAGCAAAAGATTCTATTTTGCTAACTGTGAATTGATTCTCCCCTGTTATGAATTTCAAGTTTCTCCCAAATAATTTTCATCCCCACATGTGCATCTTCCATCCTTAAAATGGTGGAAATGCTCAGTATCTCTAACTGAAATCTCCCTCCGGACAACCTCAGAGATAAACTTGATTGTGTCATGACAGCTCTTGCACATATAGAGATTCTTTGTGACCCAAATTGGTGTCCCTGGAGCAGTATTTATAAGCCCAAATGCAATAGCCAGTCTCTCGCTGTGTCCACAAAAGATCTCGGCTTTGGAATCTTCGACCTCACTTACTATATATCTTTCTGATTCACTACGACGTGCTGTTTTCATTTTTTCATAAAATCCTTCCAAAACCGCATTGATTTCCTTAATTTGGGGGTGGAAATTATCACCACTAAGGAATGCATGTACATTTCCCTTTACTTCTATCCAGCTGCAGCCGGGATCAACAGTCAGTCCTCTTTCTATCATAATCTTCCTTAACGTTGCAACTTCATCCCATCTGCCATTGTCAGAATAGAAGTTACATAGGAGAACATAATACCCAACACCTCTCTCATCAGTTTCAAGAATATGTCTAGCAGCTAGTTCTCCAAGTTCAACCTGCCTGTGGATCCTACACGCATTCAATAAAGCCCCCCAGATAGCAGAATCAGGTTTCACAGGCAATGTTATAATAAAATCATAAGCATCCTCCACTAGACCTGCACGGCCTAGCAGATCAACCACACAAGCGTAATGCTTCAGATTTGGAACAACACGATAGTTATTCTCCATGTTATTTAAATAGTCAAGGCCTTCAGTCACCAACCCAGATCTACTACAAGCACGTAATAGAGAAATGAAAGTAATCTCATCAGGCTTTACTTTTGAAGTTAGCATTCCATCGAAAAGTTCAACCGCAAGTGCACCTTGCCCTCGCTGAGCGTAGCCAGTTAGCAAAATATTCCAAGCAGTAACATCCTTTTTCTGCATATTAAACAGATTCAGTGCGGGGCCAATCCTTCCACACCTCACATAGAAGTCAAGGAGTGCATTGGGTAAAAAACCATGAAACGCCATTCCGTTCCTCAATACATATGCATGTATTTCTTTACCACACATCAGTGCACCGATTCTAGAACATGCAGAGAGAACAGACACTAAGGTAACAGTATTGGGATCCTGATAGCGTTTCATTTGGCCAAACAAAATCAAAGCTTCCAAACTGCGATTATTAATCCGAAGACCAAGAATGATAGAAGTCCAAGATATGACATTTTTATCTGGTATCCTGTGAAAAATCTCCAACGCCTTGTCAATACAGTTGCACTTCGAATAAAAGTCAACCAGAGTGTTTGAAACAATCACGTATGCTGTAAGTCCTCTCCTTTCGGCTAGTTGATGAAGCTTAACACCCATTTCTAGAAGGCCCAATGAAGTACAGGCAGATAGAACAGAAGCAATAGTAATCTCATCCGGTATGACACCTTCTAGCTCCATCATTTTGTATGTCTCCACAGCCTTCTCAGGAAATCCATTACTCTCATAACCCGAGATCATTGCAGTCCATGAAACTACATCCTTACACTGTATCCTATCAAAGATCTTCTCCGCTTCCTCCCAACTCCCAATAGCCGAATAAAGTTGAATGAGAGAGTTGTGCACCGAAACATCACTATAAAAATTCATTCTTGACACGTACCCATGAAGCGCCTTCCCTAAACTCTCATCCCCAAGAGCTTCACAAGCTGAAACCACACTTGTCATGGTCATCAAATCCGGAAAAAATCCAAATTTCCTCATCGACGAAAACAACTTCAACCCTTCCGAAAACTCATCGTTCTCAAAGTAACCTGCAATCATAGCATTCCAAGAAATTCTATCTCTCCTAGGCATTCCATCAAACAGCACCCTCGCATTAAACAAATCACCACATTTCACATACATAGTAATCAAAGCATTAAGCACATCAATTTCCGACTCATACCCAAAACTAATAACATGAGCATGTATCTCCCTACCCATTTTCCAATCAGGCAAACCTCCACAAGTCCTCAAAACACAAGGAAAAGTATACACATCAGGTCTAAATCCAACCCACAACATCCTTTGATACAAATCCAACGCCTCATCAAAGTACCCGTTTTTCGCATACCCACCAATCAAAACATTCCAAGAAAATACATCTCTTTCCTCCATTTTCCCAAACACATACCAAGCATCACCCAAATTCCCCAGCCTAACAAACATACTTAACAATGCATTTCCCAGCCTCAAGCTCAACTGGGACATACAGCTAAGTATGCATGAAAACACTTCACATGCTTCATTAGATGCCCTTTTGAATTCACAAAGCCTAGCTAAAGAAATAAATGTTTCTTCTTCTATAGTCCCATGAAGTTCTTTTACTGATTTTAAGAATATTATGGCTTGTTCTAGAAGGTTCTGGGAGCATAATTGGATAAGGTGGGAATTGGGGTCAGTGGTAGGAGTTGAGGTGGAGGAGGAGCTGAGGAGGGGATTTTGGTGTGTTTTCTTAAGAGAAAAAAGGTGGGATTTTTGGAAGATATGGGAGAAGTTAAGCGATTTAGAAGAAAGGAGTTTGGAGAATTGAGGGTTTGGAGGGTCTAAGGAAGGGAGGGATGTAGTTGGGGTTTTAGCAGAGACTGCCATAATTGGAGGTGTAACGAAGGAACATGTCGGATATTTTTATCAGGCGGGGTTTAAGGAGATGGTTTAAACGGCTATCAAACACCAATAACAGTTAAGCCGATAAGAGATACTTCGAAATTCCCTTTTCGCCGTCGTAGAGAGTATTTTATATTTTGGCTAAGCATTTTTCTGGCGCGTCGTCATATAGATTTTAACTCATAGAAATTGGAATTAGTTTGTTCTTAATATAAATCATCTCCTCCTCTTCTTTCTTCTTTTAATTAAATTAATTCAACAAGTATATGTATTTTAACATGTGGAAATTGGAATAAGTTTCTTGCTATTGGAAAATATAACATTCTAGATCGAGCAATTTGGGAAATTTGATTAGGGTTTTCAACAAAGAGAGAGGATACATTTATTTGAAAAAAACGAAATCAGAGAAAAATATCTGATGGATCCTTCTAGATCCAGCACTGTATATTTATATAGTGGCCTCAGTTGGGTGCCCAATACTATGAAATCCGCCTCCTAACTAATACACTAACTAAAACAAGCTGAAACAATAGTTACAAAGATAGCCAAAATAGATATAATGGTCCATTACATGATTAGTCACTAAGTTTGTGTTTGAGACTAGAAGCTAAATACTCCATCATGTCAATACCCCCCTCAAGTTGGAAAGGGAAACCACATGCAACTTGGATAATAAATGGTGATGAAGATTGCCAGGTAAAGGTTTGGTGAGTAGATCGGCCAACTGTTTGGTGGTAGAAATACGAAATAATTGAATCAGCCCATTACCAAGTTTGGTCCTAATGAAGTGTCAGTCACTCAATATATTCAATTCGTTCATGAAAGACAAGATTCCTAGCTATATGCAGGGCATCATGATTATCACAAAAGACATAAAAATAAAGCATAACAGGAACAACAAAATCATTCAAGAGGCTGGAAAACCAAGTCAACTTAGCAACTACCTTACTCAAAGCCCTATATTCAGGCTCAACAGAAGATAGTGAAATAAGAGGTTGCTTTTTAAACTTCCAACTAATGAGGCTACCACCAAAAAAATACAGCATCCAGTGACAGACTTCCTAGTGTTTGGACAAGTAGCCCAGTCATTGTCTGAATATGCAGTGATAGAGAAGCCAAGAGAATCAGAATAATTCAAACCTAGATCCATAGTGCCCTTAAAATATCTCAGAACATGGAGAGCAACAGACATATGAGGGACCCTAGGAGATTTCAGAAATTAACTCAAGTGTTGAACTACAGAACATATATCAAGTCTAGTATGAGTGAGAAAAAGCAGCTTCCCTACCAGACTTCTATAGGACTCAGGTGTAGGAAGCAAATCACCAGAATCGACATGCAATTTAGTGTGCAACTCTAAAGGACAGACCATTGGAGTAACAGAAGTGTAGCCAAACCATTGAAGCAAATTTGAGACAAATTTCTTTTGGTTGAGAACAACCTCACCAGAAACATGACACACCTCAATGCCTAGGAAATAATGTAAAGAGCCAAGATCTTTGATCTTAAACCGAGATTACAGGAACGGCTTTAGAGATGAAATCTCAACAATATCATCCCCAATAATGATGATCTCATCAACATAGACAACCAAAAGGACCAAATGCCAAGATTACCGACAGACAGAGAAGAGTCATTAAGGGAATGAGTATAATCCCTAGAATACCAAGCCTGGGATTGCTTGACATATCATTTCCTAGAAGCCTGCCTAAGACCATAAAGGGCACATAAGTAGAAGAAGTAGACACAGACAACCCTTGGGGTAATTTCATATCAACCTCCTCATTTAAATTTCCATGTAGGAAAGCATTGTTGACATCTAATTGAGAAAGAGACCAATGTTCCTTAACAACCACAACCATTAAACACTTGACAATAGACATTTTAACTACAGGGGAGAAGGTTTCAGTAAACGAGCGCAAAACACAACACAAAATTATTGTTCGTCGGTCAAAGATAGTATAGTTAATTATCGTCTTCACAGGGATTGGATTTAAATAATGTTTGAATAATATTCAGTTGATTACTATCCCGGAAAATCAACATTTAATTTGATGACTATTACTACGATTAACTACTAAAAATTAAGTAATTAATAATTGATCACAGAAGAAAATAGACGAGCAACGAAGAAATATCAATGAGAGAAATAAGGGTAATTGAGTAGACAAGTGCAAGATAATTGATTCGGGATCTAATTCTTGAGTTAGTTCACTCTAAAATACTATTGATTCTCACGAATTCAACAGTTAATTAGATTACACTTGAAGTTAATGTTTCTCTTATGATTAAACGTTAATTTCAGTACTAATCCAATTGAAGTACGGTAAACAATTGCAATAATAAAATGATGGTTATGATCTAAAGGGTAACTTCTCACGAATATTTTCCTATTTTCTAGTTCGATTAATAATTCAAGAGGCTCATTCGATTACCTATTTGAATCACGAATTTAAACTAGAGCATAAAATGTAGAGAACTTCAATATAAAACTCCTCTTTCGATTAAGAAAATAAGAAATAACTCCACAATACGAATTAAACTTCAGCAATTATCAAGAATCGATCCCTAATCAAGTTATCAAAATACCGTATCTGTCAACATCCTAATAGAATTTACTCCATAGTAATGGAATAAATCATCTCAATAAGGTTTATGAACAAAGAAAACATCAATGCTAATGCTTCAATACAAACTCCTGTATTGCACCGATCGTTGGTTGAAATCCTGATGACGTCTTGAGTCTTCTTACCTTAGTTGGTTCTCAAATATTTCGTAGGTCAAAAGTCCTCAAAAAATGTATTTCTAGTGTATTTTATACCAAGTAGGAATGAACCCGGACGAAACTACCCTCTTTGAGCCGAAGTGCGAACCCAACAAACTCTTTACACTTCACTCGTCGCACAATGCGTCGCAGAATGCATCACATCAGTTTAGTTTACTCAGTTGCAAACTCTCTGAACTCCGCGTGTCTGACAGAATTTTGCATTAGTGCATCGCAGGCCGCGTCCTAGTAGTGCATTTGCTTGTCAGATAAAAAAACCATTCTCTGAACTTGTCAAACTTCTGATGCATATTTGCACTAATGTGTCGCATGCTGCTACGCTTTGTGCGTCACATTAGTCCATTTGTTCTGGCCCTTGCACTTTCTTCCCCCTTTCATATGCAACGCCTGTCATAGACCCGGATGCGATCCTAGTTTAATTCTTTGGCTTTTACTCAGACTTCAAAGCTCCAATTATTCGATTTAGCTCCAATTTATCCTTTTTAACTCGGAATCATTTCCTGCACGATATAAAAACACTTAATAAGTGCAAATCGCCATCATTTAAGCTCAAACATACGTAAAATGCAGTAATTTAGAGTGTAAACTACCGCTAAAATACGGGTTTCTAGCCTACCATCAATATCCCACACTCAGACCATTACTCGTCCTCGAGCAATCAAACTACACTTCACATAGGGACGACCTCTTCATTAAACAACTTCCCTAATACATCATGCCAAGAATATTTAAAATAGACTAAGCACCATATCATAACATCCTAACCTCAAGACTCGACTCAAAAGCACCACACATTTTTCATAACCTGTTCACTTATTCTAACACAGAGGTCAAAGACTTTATCTTACCTTCGCAAATCATGTGCCCTCACACAAACAATAGAGAGTAGTTCCACAGGCAATAAAATTCAAGAACACATAGGAACTCAAGATAGAAAGAATTCACTCACTCTTAGAAATCAAATTCATGCTCCACAGAGGATCGGGTCTATCCTGACTCTCTAGTCAAAGCATTTACGCAGAGTCACAATCAACCAATTTAAGGTACTTATCTAAGAGTCAAGAAGTGAGTCTAGGCATCACAACTAAGGCACTCACCACTCTCAAGGCATATGCAGTTAAGAAAAATTACTTCAAATTAGCACTGTGACTCAAGATTCTATATTCTCTAAAATAAAAAAAAATAAAAAACTACTACACCCGGTTCAAGTAAATCCTTGAAAAAGAACCACGACACAAAGAAAAATCAAGAAAAAATTATTACACTACCTAAGAAGGAAAAAAAGACATATTTTTTTTGGATTTTCAAAATTTTTGATTTTTTTTGTTTGTAATTTTCTCTTTCGACTTCAAATCCCTCAAGAAGCCAATCGACGAAATCCATCATTGGGAAAAGTCGAACTACTACTACATGAGTTACTAGCTATTAGAGGCCGAATAAAATTCAGAGTTACGATTACATGCCACATTATATAATAAGCAAGAAACAAAACAAAACAAATACAAGCAACTGGGAAGACCACACCCCACACTTAAGAGATAGCATTGTCCCCCAAGCAAAGCAATAAAACAAGGGTGGTAAAGGACTCCCTAAGGCCTAGGCCTAGTCATTGACACCAGTAGTGCCGCCAATAGCAGTCTCATCATCGTCCTCCGCAACAAAGTTGACATCTTCATCAGGACGAAGTGCAGGACTACCATCCAATAGGAAAAAAAATGCCTAGTAGGGGAACCCAAATGGTACTGCTATGCCAAATCCTCAATGTCAACCTCTCCACGAGCAGCTCGAAGTTGCATGTCAGCAAACATAAATCGTATCATATCCTCCATTCTGTCATGCCTCTTGTCCGAGGTCATAGTGACTCTCGAAGGACCCGAATCCTACACAATAGTGATATCATAAAGCTTGGTGACTAGGAAAAGCTGTCGATCAAACTGATCATCAACAAGCACACCGTGGTGTAGTAGCATCCTAGTCAACATGCTCGGATATAGCAACCTTCGCAATCCAACCATCCTTACCCTAGCTATGTTAGCAATAATAATCTTGCCCATATTCAATGGTATCTAGGTTACCATAGCATATATCAAACATACCTAGAGGCGCGAAACAATGGAATCATTATTACTTGGTAATTTTTTTTATTGATAACCGTAACAACACTTTGGCGGGTAGCTGCAAATTGGCTCGAGTCATGGTGGAATGATGGTCAACCTTATCCCTATTCCAAATTGCCAAATAATTAGGTCTACAGATAAGTTCGCGGATGGCTTGATAAGCAGGCCTTTTCATAAATGACTTGAATTGAGCATGGGACTCATTCATAAACCCCAACTCATCATTAATTATCTCAACAAAAACCTTGACCCACTTTTTATGAATTTTGATAGTGTTACTCCCTATCATACTGGAATCTGGGTACCCAGTTGGCGTAGAACTCCTTTACTATACCAAAATTATCTTCTCCGATGGAATCATATGTGGGATCTAGCATATTAGCATATAGCTCTGGATATTTCTTCTGAAACTTTCGCCAATCAATCCCAACATCAGTAATAGGCTCCCCAGATGGGACAAATCACGGAACCACTCGCGTGATGGGGAAACGTTGATTAAACCCCATATATGGGCTATAGCATATCAACATTCGAGTATGGCACATCAGGGTTTGAGCAGTCTGAGGAGTCCACAACTGTGGGTTCTCTCTTAGCATGCTGACGGCTACTGAAAGCACCTGCAGGAGCGCCAGTATTCATACGTTTTCTAGCATGGCGAGACATTGTTCCTACACAAGATGCACAACTTAACTATGACACATCAAAGCAGAAGCAAGGCCAAAACAGGGGTAGAGCCACCCCAAACTTATGTCATTAGCATGCTCACAGGCATGAACCAGGGGAATCAAACTACCCCATATTCAACAAAATAACACATTCACAACTTGCCAATAGCGATGCATAGGTTCAACAACCACCACAATTGTAGCAATGTGTTTAGTCTGTGACCGCCTACCCCGTACTTCTAATTCCTAAACATCTATGAACAAAATATGCATCACCTTGTCACTCCTCCTTTTTCTATCCGAAAGGGATATAAGGGAGTTTTTCTAATTTAAATGACAAAAGTCAAAACGGGATTAATTATTCAAATTCAGACTCGCCACTTGGGATAATTTATGGTGTCCCAAGTTACCGGATTAAAATCCTGAATCGAGGAAGTTTGACTCTTATTTATGGTCTGCGAACACAGAAATTTGGGTAAGGAATTCTGTTAACCCAGAAAAATATGTTAGGCATTTCCGGGCTCAATGGTTTTAGCACGGTCGCTCAACTATTATTATTGGCCTAATTATCTGATTAATTGCATGTTTTATACCTATTGTGCATTTTTAGATTTTGACCGCTTTTAATTATTTATGAAATTATTCTTGGACAAGTTACGATTGTCGTACACTCGTTTGTTTTGGACACATTGTGAATCGTGTCACGGGAGTCGTACCCATGATCTACAACATATTTAATTTTTATTATTATTAATTATGATCGGATCATATGAAATACACACTCGAATTTGGAGTTATGTATCATGACTATGCAACGTTAACCGTACCCACAGTCACGATGATTACTTACGCGCCAAAAAAGTTTACCTACCCAAGTGTAGTCGGCCTAAACATGCTCCTAGAGAACAATGTAAAGAAATAAAAATAAGCAACTAAGAGAAACTAAAAGAAAAATTCAATTCATGATCAAGTTCTTTGTTCACATATTTAACCCAACCCAATTCATAATCATGCAAGTCAAAATTTAATAGCTAAAGAAGTCGTTCCTTTCCTATCCCCACAGTCCATGTCAACCAATGTTCATTCAAACAATTTTATATCACCAAAATAAGGCATCCAACAGATAACATCTTTAAAAAAGATGGAGAACTAAACTAAACACTATTAGAATAGAGGAAATGTGAATTAAAGTCAATAAGAAAAGCCAGTCAAAGACTACTACCCCACACCAATTCCTTCCTAGCATAACGAGTTAGATCCTAGAACTAAGGGTCAAAACTAAACTCAAAATTCAATACACTTTTCATATGAATGAGGTCGCTGTGACATGGGAAACCAAATCAAAACTATGGCACTGAATGCATGACATATTGGACATAAATAATTTACTCAAATTACCACTCTGGAAAGACCTCACATTTGTATTGTGGATTTTACTCTGAAATATGCAGATTCAGTAATAGAACTCACTTGGGACCAAAGAAACATTTTAAACATTACCCGATGTCAAAAGCTCTTGAAACTACTAAAAAGCTAAAACCAAAAATATTGTAAGTCTCACTTCTGCTTGTTCTGCCCTTTTATGATGAAGAAACTAATATGAAAATCACCAGGTGACTTCTTTTCCTTTTACCTCTTTTCATTGTATTTTATCAATAATAACAGAAGACGAGAAACTAATTCAAACCAGATGAAAGCAGATTCAAAGAATCAAACAACTGAAAATCAACTCACAAATGCACCATAACAATTCTATCACCACATAAACACATGTAAAACAAACTCATCTTAACATAACTCTTTGATACTTAAATTCACAACAAGAAAATCGAGGAAGATGAAATAGTGAGAAAACGAACCTGTTTAAACAAATATTTCTTTAATATTGGTAGAAAAATTGTCGAGTGCCAAGTTTCAACTCTAACTCTGAACGAAATCATCGGCGAAAACCCGGCAGAAATCGCGGACCTTAAGCGGTGGATGGAATCAAATCACAATCCGATGTCGAACCTCAAACGGTCTCCATTTTTACAATCAGGAGTTGAAATTCAAAAATCAAGAAAAAAAAATAGAACTATCTTTTATACTTTTTCTGATTTTTGGAACTTAAACTAATAGAATGATAGGAACCTACAATTTGAAGAAAAGCCTTCTTCCCTAAAATCTCTTGTCCGTTCGCTCTACTCTGTTCTGTCTTTTCCTCTTTTGCCTCGTTTTGTTAGGGACGGTGAGATCGCGACAGCAGCTGGCTGTAGGTGTAGACGAATGAGGCATGGCTGTTGGGTGCTGGTTTCCGGCGAGCTTTGTTAATGGGAAGAAGTAGAAGGGTTGTCATTTGGCATGAGATGAAGGGCTGGTTCGTTGCTTATTTTTGCAGTTGCAACTCCTTCTTTGTGAAGTTGTTTCGTGTTCTTCCAAGCTAAGGGAGAAAATCCATTGGTCTCATGAGGATGGGCGACTGGTCCAGCTTGAAGAGGAATGTTTTTGGGGTCAGGTCTGTTGTTTTTGGAGAAGAAGAAGTTCGGGGAGGGGGGGTCTCTTGGTATCGCGACTGATGCTTCTAGGTAGGGATTCTAGGTTTTTTCTTTTAAATGTGGCGATGAAAAGGGTCTTTAGGTTAGGGGTATGGGCTTATGGGTTGGAGAAGAAAGAAATTGAGCTTGGCCAAATTTTTGGGCCAACTTTTGTCTAATAATGGCCCTCTCTTGGATCTTCTTTTGATTTTAAAATCAAGACCATGTCCATCTTAAAATTAATTTGATTTTTTTCTTCTTTTTTTAAAGAACAAATTAAAAATACAACTATTACTAATTCATGCTAGTTAAGTAAATAATTATAATGCAAAAATACTAAAATTACACATTGAGGTAACAAATAAAACTATTTTTGTATTTTTAAATTTTATGAAAGGTAAATAAACTAAAAGTAACAAGATAAAATATCAATTACCTAAATAAAGAAAATATATTTTCTGTAATTTTTATTTTTGTGACAAAATGAAGTAAAAGAGTCAAAACTAATTGAAACAACGATATTATGCCTAAACTAAATATTTAAGCTAAAAATGTGTAAAATCTCGGGGAGGGTAAAATATTACATGTCTATAGCTGCCCCTCTTTGACTGGAAACGCAACGAGTTTTCCGACAAAGAACGACGAGACATGTTTTTTTGACCCGACCCTTATTTAGAGAGACCAAAAACTAAAGAAAGGAGAATGTGACCGAGCCCTAGTATCTGAGCTGCCTACATATCCTTGGCTATAAAGGAATCAGGCCACGTGTAGTTCAGAAGTAGGAAGAGTGACGAAGTTTACCAAGGTAGAGAGCCAATTGAGGTGTCGTTCCATCGAGGTTCCAGTCCGCAGTCCTGTTATTATATCAAAATAAAAAAATAAAAAAGACTAACTAAACCTGTCAGCTATGAATTACAAGATTCCTATCTATAAGTCTTCTGAAGCTTGATCTTGAGTCTTGAATGGTTCTTCATGCTGAATTTGATATGAATCTTGATGCTTGTTAACTGCGGGTGTTAGTTCATTCTTTCACGGCTTCTTCGGATCAAGACAGGACATGCAGTGCTCGTGACTTCAACCATGTCTTGAGCTATTGAGCAGCTCACATCTTTCATCTGCTTTTGCATTTCGATTCACTTCCTTCTTTTTTCTTTTCTTTCTTTTTCTTGGATTGAGACTTCTTCTTTCTTCATCTCAAACCCCTGTGCCTCGAGGTAAAAACCTTGTTCTTCAAACAACTCGTGCTACCTCCGATTTGAAACTTGAAATGAATTCTGAAATGACTTCCCCCATTCTCCAGGTGGGTGCCTTCTACTGACTGGAAACTTGAAATAAATTCCCTTGTTCTTCAGGTAGGCGCCTGATGCTTAAACTTTGAGATGAATTCCCTTGTTTTCCAGGTGGGCGCCTGCAACTTAAACTTGAAATAAATTCCTTTGTTTTTCAGGTGGGCGCTTGATGCCAAAACTTGAAATGTATTCCCTTGTTTTCCAGGTGGCCGCCTGATGCCAAAACTTGAAACGTATTCCCTTGTTTTCCAGGTGGGCGCGTGATGCCAAAACTTGAAGTGTATTTGTCACAACCCCAAACCCAGACCCGGTCGTGATGGCACCTCTCGTGAAGACAAGGCCAGCCGACACACTTCCAATTCATTTTTAAGCAATTAAGATAATACAATTAAGTCTTAAACATAATAAATCTCCCAAAAGATAAAGTGAAACAGTACAATACGGAAAATAAATACAACACAGCCCGACATCGGGGTGTCACCAGTCATGAGCATCTACAACCCAAATAAAGACAAGAAAAGTGTACATAGTCTAATACAGGCTAAAACAGAGAAAATAAGATAAGGGAAGAAGCTCTGGGCTGCGAACATCGACAGCTACCTAGAGAATCTCCGAATCAGCTTGAGCTGGAAGGATCAACACTCGCTAGCGGGACCTGAAGTGCCTGAATCTTCACACGGGGAGTAGGGAGTAAAGTGAGTACTCTAACTCAGTGAGTAATAATAACAAATGCAAACTGAGTAATAAGAAATCATGTAAAGGCACTTCGACAGGCTATAAAGAAGCAGTAAAAGCCAGTAAAAACATATGAAACAGTGAAAATATGTACAGTCATTTTTAGTTCAGTTTAAACTTCTTTGGAATGCCGTTTTAACAGTTAAGCAAGTAAATGACATGCAATTAGGAAAGATAAACCCATAAAGAACTGCCTCTTAGGAACAATACCAATAGAATCAGCCCCTCGGGCAACACATGGAACAATACCAGCCCCTCGGGCTATATCTCACATCACAATGGGTACCCGCGCTCACTGGGGGTGCGCAGACTCCTAGAGGGGACCCTTACGAACCAAGCGCAATATCAACTCATCTCGTGGCATAATCACATAGGCTCTCGACCTCATATCAACAAGCCACCTCGTGGTGTACAAATCTCAAGACCTAGGCCTCATAATTATAATCAGTGTTTCCTCACAATATAGGCCCTCAGCCTTACTTAGTCAGAATCTCACAAGCCACTCGGGCAACAGTAAAACATGGTGCTCAACCCAAAATATCATTTAAGTGTTAAAGCGGAGTAAACATGACTGAGTTATGAAAAAAACAGTAGAATATAGCATGACTGAGTTCAAGTATAAAGTCAAAACAGTGAGGAAATATCAGCAAAAATCCCCTAAGGGTTCAAATAGTTGGCACGAGGCCCAAATATGGCATTCAGCCCAAAACATGATGATAGCAAACAGTTTTTAGTCAAATATACGGTAAAACAATCATTCGGGATGGACTAAGTCATAATCCCCAATAGTGCACGACCCCACGCTCGTCATCTAGCGTGTGCATCACTTCAATATAGCAAAACAATGTGCAATTCAGGGTTTCATACCCTCAGGACAATATTTACAATCATTAATCACCTCTACCTGGTCCAAATCTCTAGCTCGCGATGCCGTTGCCCCTCGAATCGGCCTCCGGATGCTCCAAATCTAACCAAAATCAGTGCAAAACCATCAAAATATGCTAAGGGAACAAAGCCCACTCAGAAAAATCAAATTACAACATAAATCCCGAAATTGGCCAAACCCGACCCCCGGGCCCACGTCTCGAATTCCGATAAAAATCACTTCAATGGAATCTTTATCACTTCCCGAGTTCATTCATACCAAAAGCATCAAAATCCAACCACAAATGACCCCTCAAATCCAAAATTCTAGGTCTCCAATTACAAGCCCCAGTTCTTCAATATTAGGCTTAATTCCATGATTAATTAGGTAGAATTCACATAAGAATCGAGTATTAAGTCCATCAATCTTACATCCAAGTTTTTCCCTTGAATCCCTCTTCAATTCTCTTCAAAAAGCTCCAAAATCACTCAAAAATGGAGGAAGTTAACCCAAAATTGCGGACAAGATGACTATTTAAACATTCTACCCAGACCTCAATTCCTTCTTCGCGAATGCAGTCAACGCCTCGCGTTCGCGAAGCACAATATAACTTTGACCAAAATTCCTTATTCGCGATCACGATGCCCAGCTCGAGAACGCAAAGGCATAGCTCCCTAATTCATTGCGATCACGACTCCCCTTCCGCGAGCGCGAAGCACAGACCAACCTGAACCTCGCTGCTCAACTCCCTCTATGTGAACGCGGCTCCACCTCGCGAACGCGATGCACATCATTCCAGCCCTTTGTGAACGCGGAGCCTTCCTCGCGAACGCGAAGGCTAAATCCTCAGCCTCCTCAACTAACCCTTCGCGAACGCGAGGGCCTACAAGCGAACGCGAAGGCCATTTCTCTGCAACACTGAACAACAATTTTTTGCAACTCTCAACATCTAGAAATGATCCGATTGACCACCTGAAACTCATCCGAGGCCCTCGGGACCTTAAACAAACATGGAAACATATCCCATAACATCATTCAAACTTGTTCCAATCTTCGGAACGCACAAAACAACATCAAAACACCAAATTCGCATCGGATTCAAGCCTACGAATTGCAAAATCTTCTACATTACGCTTTTGATCAAAAACCCAACCAAACCACGTCTGAATGACCTAAAAGTTTGCACACACATCCCAAAATGACACAATGGAACTATTGCAACTCTCAGAATTTCATTCTGACCCCTATATCAAAATATCACCTATCAACCGGAAAACGCCAAAAAACTAATTTTGCCAATTCAAGGCTAAATCTACTCCGGACCTCCAAATTACATTACGATCATGCTCCTAAGTCTCAAAATCACCTCTCGAAGCAACCCGAACCATCGGAATTCACATCTGAGCCCTCTAACACATAAGTCAAGATCCGGTTGACTTTTCCAACTTAAGTTTCCTCAAAAGAGACTAAGTGTCTCAAACCTTACCAAATCCTTTCCGAACCCGAGGCAACCAACCTGATCACATATAGAACCAATAGACAAAGTAATAAGAAGCAGAAATGGGGGAAACATTGCGGTAAATCATAAGATGACTGGTTGGGTCATTACATCCTCCCCCTCTTAAACAAATGTTCGTCCTCGAACGAGTCAAGAAACATACCCGAAGCCTCAAACAGGTGAGGATATCTGCTTCGCATCTCCCGCTTGGTCTCCCAGGTAGCCTCCCTCATGGGCTGACCTCTCCACTGCACTTTTACTGAAGCTATATCCTTTGATCTCAACTTTTGAACCTGATGCTCCAAAATAGTTGTTGGCTCCACATCATAAGTCAAATCACCATCCAACTGAACCATGCTGAAATCCAGAACATGAGACGGATCCCTAATATACTTCCGGAGCATAGAAACATGGAATACCGGATGCACACTCGACAAGCTGGGTGGCAAAGCAAGCTCATAAGCTACCTCCCCAATCCTCCGAAGCACCTCAAAAGGCCCAAGGAACCGAGGACTCAACTTACTGTAGACATGTGATTTTTGACCCTCCCAAGATTTTTCATATTTTAGCGTGTAAATATTTAATTTAGGCATAATATAGATATTTTAAGTAATTTTGACTCTTTTACTCTATTTTATTACAAGAAAACAAAAATTTACAAAAATAGGTTCATTAATATT